TTGGAACTTTTCCCTTTCATAAACTAATCAGCTGTAATAACCTAAGTTGTTATTTTGAAATCTATGCTCTTAAACATTATTAAATAAAACAAACGTCTCTTCTGGTGATTCCGGACAGGAATAAATATATATTGTCGTTGAATAATAATTATTTGTATGCATATACGACCTTCTCATTATTTTTAGTTCTTAATTTCCCAAGTTCATTATTTGACAGTGTTCAAAATCATGATAAACAAACGCGTTTTCTTCTGAGTTTTAATGATTGTTTGATTTCAGATTTTTGAAACTTTTTTATACCCATTTTTGTTGTAAATCAAACCTTTATTATTAAAATATTATTTTTTATACTATTTATTTTATGATGTATCAAATTTATTTTTAAATTGTCGTTATTGTTGAGTGTTTTAATATATAATACTCAGATTAAAATATTACTATTAAAAAATTATATTAATATAATTAACGTATAACAAATACTTTATTTAATTATAGAAAAAGGTTTGCGACAAAAAATAAGACTTAAAACCGCAGTTATTTTTCGGGTTTTCTAGGTTTTTTGGCTTGACTTTGCTTCCTGGTGTTGGTGAGTTTCTCACGTTGAAGACGTTTTTTCCTGTCTTCATAATTTTCGAGAGCAACTCTGGTCGCTCCAACAACTTTAGGTTCTGCAGCCATACCCAAGAATTTGCAGACTGCTCTTGCCCCATTCATGTCCACTTTTACCACCCCCGTTATGTAATCTGAAATATTGTAATTTGGCGACTTCTTTTGTATCTCCTGAAGCTCGCTTTCACTGGGAGTGTGTGGAACAAATGATATTCCTGCTTGTTTAAAAGAGCTCGCGACATTGTCTCCATTTGCCACACACTCCCGGGAATAGATTAGCTCTCTATTTTTTTTCCTCTTCAGACATGTTAATATATTTTTTCATTGCTTATTTGAACTTTGGGGAATCAATTTGAAGCAATTTACCACTTTTTTCAACATTTTTCCTTCTTTTTTTAATAAAGTGAATTTGTGGTTAAGACAGTTGTTTTTGTCCGCCAAAAATTTCTTTTGGTTCCCGAATATTCCCAAGTCCATTGGTTGATATAAATGGGAACTGTGAGGGACCTCCTTAATCATTTCTACATGATTTTCCAAAAATAAATTTTGAATTTCTTCAGAAAAATGGCCTGAAAAACCATCAAGAATTAGGAAAGCTTTCATATCGGCACGCACACCCATCTCTTCTCTTTTTGCCTTAATTGTCAGGAAGAACACTTTTTTTAACCAGAGGGTGTATAATTCAGTATTCAAAACACCTGATTTTTGTGTCCTTATTAAAGCCCGACTTTTAAGGGATATAATAGCAACATCTTCCAGAGAAAGTCTTTTTGTTACCACAAGTGGAATCATTTTGGTTCCATCGAGGCATCCACAACACAAAAGACTTGTTCTGGAACTTTCTTTTTCAACTTCATTAAACACATCTTGTCCTCTAGAAACTTCTGCATAGACAATTTATGAATGAGAATCGACCCATTGGTCGAATCCAACTTCATCTAGGTTAAAAATAAGCTCAAAACGGCACCCGTCAATTTTCTTTTTAAATTCAGTGTAATATTGCAAAATTGACTCGGGTGTAACTTCTGCCCGTTTTGCTTCCATAACTGGTGCCATAACTGGTGCAACATCTGGAATATGGGTCTTATTTTTTGCAATTGCTTGGACCCAATATTTTTGTCGAAATTTTCGTGAATAAAAAAACTTGCTTCTTCACGTGTTGCTTTTTTAGTCTTACTATCTTTTATTGCGTTTTGTATCGCAATAATTTCTTCATCATTTAGTAGTCTTTTGCGTCCTTTTTCTAGTTTTTTACCAGTTTTATTTTGTTATTTATTTTGTCGATTTGACAACGAACACTTTTTCTTTCGAAAGTCCCGAAAATTAGTCAAGTGCAATGGGAAAAGACAATTTTTTTCTTTTAATATTTTTGAAACATTTTCTGGCAATTCCTTCAAACAAAAACGGACTTGTTGACGGAAAGAATCAAATGCCATGGATTTATCTTTGATCTCAAGATTATTAAAAAAATAATCATATCTGGGATTTCTTTTAAATAATCAATCACATTAATATACTGTGGTATTAAAGGTTTTTTCATTGTGTTCACTAAACTTTGCAATTTTTCATCTTGTGTTTTATACACATGTTTAACTTTCGGAGGTTTTGATATCATTGGGCTATGAGACATTAATGAAAAATAAAGATTGTTATAAACACTCAATTATTAAACGTGTATTTTTGATTTTATTTGAAACTTTTGAATATATTTCAACAAAAATAGTTGTGTTAATTATTGATTGTTGTTTTTAACAATTAAATTGATTTTGTTAATTGTTATGTGATTGTTTAAATAATTTTGGTGTTATTTTGATTATTTTGCTTCGATGGATTTGTTTTTTTATTTTGCGATGAAATTTTATCGCATTGTTGTTTAGTTTTTTACAATGTTTATGTTTTTTATAAAAATAAAATATTAAAAATTATGATAATAAATAACTTTAACTTTAAACATTATTTTTGAATGATTTATTTTAATATTTAAATTACTAATTATTTCTTTAAATAATTTTGCCCAAAAATGGTCAAAAACAATTATTTGGAATAATTTAATAATATTTTTATCATAAATTATTAAATATTTATTCTATATAGTATTATGAATAGTTTTTGAAATAAATTATTATTATATCATAATAGAATCACATTTAAATATTTTTGTTTGTTTTTATAAACCATGTTATATTATTAATAGCTATTGTTTAAATTATACAAACTAAATTATTAAAATATTAAATCATGATAGTTTATCAATGATTTAATTTATATAACACATAACGAACACTTCATTTTGTAATTCTTTGGCTTCGTGTTAAGTTAGTGCCTTAGCGACTGCAAGGTTTACTGATAAGAGTTTGCACATATTAAGTTATCAAATTTTTATTTTTTTTCGAGACATTTTTTATTATTTAATAGTATTTTTATTAACTACAATAGTTATTTGTTTTTTGATTATCAACAATTGGTCTAAAAACCCAAAATATAGAGTGATATATTTGATAATAAAAACACTTGAAATCTATATTAATACACAAGATACTCTTATAATAAATAATCTTTTATTTTTATAATAATGTTATTTCAAAGACTTGCCCGAGCTCTCTTCAGTTGTGTTTGCATTGACTGTTTGTGCATTGAATTACGTATTAAGTATCAATTAAGTCATTTTTTCGACACTTAACTAGAATTTTTAATAAAATGCACTTTTGGGCAAGTCTTTATTACGGCGGAAAAAACCGATGTTTTACCATTTTATATAAAGTTTTCCTTAAAATTGGACATTATTTGCGTTTTGCCGAGTTGAAATTTAAAAAATATAAGCATTTCTTAAAACCGATGTTGACCTTTTTATTACCAAACTCAAATCAATCAACACTAAATTCTGAACAAAAATAATAAAATGCCATTAAAAAACACAAAAAAATAATTGAGTTTTTTCACGGCATACAAATAGTATTTTACTAACTTAACATGAAAAAACACGATTTTTATTGTTATATTGACCACCAAGATTTGGTTGCCTCCATTTCGGATAACCCACTCTATTTTCCCCGTCTTTTTATTTTTTCCCATGAACGGCACCAAAAACCGATGTTTGACCAAGTTCTTTATAAACAACCATTAAACTTTGACCATAAATGATATTTGCCACAAAAAGTTGAGGTTTTGTTCATAAAATTTAAAAAACAGGGAAAAACAAATGGACACATGAAACGGAATATTACCGATGTTCGATGTTTCTAATTAAAAAATCGTTTTATTTTGTTTTTTTTCTCCAGTTTTTTGATTATGCTTCGATTTTTGAAAAAAAGTTTCAAAAAATTAATTGATTATAAAAAGGAGCTCTGTATTTCATTTGTTTAACAGGGACTCAAAAAAGGGCTGGGAATGGATGCACTCAACTTTGTGTGGTGTAGCTTTTGAAAGAACGTTTTTCAAGTTTGGCCCTGGACTGCATTTCTGATCGAATGAGGAATCGATCAAGAGGGGATGTGAAATAAAGGTGCAGTCGGTCTTTGATCAAAGAAATGAAAAGTTGTTACATTGAAAGAGTGTGAATATTGATACGTTTATTAAGTTGTTTGATATGTAATTGATTAGATAGTGGAGTTTGTGTTTTATGAACGATAAATAGCATGTAAAAAAAATTAAAAGTTAAAGTTAAAGGGTGTGAAAAAAAGTACAGTGACGGGGTTTTGATTAAAAGTTTTTGTATTTATGCTAAAAAGGAAAAATAATATTGAAAACATTAATCAACTTTTAAAAACTTTTTATTGTTTTTTTAGCCAATTTTTATATTTTTCTTGCTTCAAAGAACAGTTTAGAAGTCGTTATTTTATGCTTCCCTTTTGTCTTTCGGCAAATTCAACCTTATCTTTACAAGAAAAAAATAATGTATAATCTCAAAAATGATTTTTGGCATTTCGAAAAAAGAAATTGAGTTATGTTAACCTTGTTTTTTTGAATCAAATTGCAGAAAAGTGGAAAAATAAACTATACAACTAACTATAAAAGTGTTATTAAATTACTATTATTTTGGCAACATCGCTTTTTTCCAACATCGGTTTTTTTCTGCCCCTTTAAGTCTGATTATTTGGGGTTATTAATTTTATTAATTTTTTGATTAATAATTTATATTAAAATTAATAGTAATTTTATTATTTTTCAATTGAAATCAACCAATAGTTACGAGCATCCTCCTTTCTCGAGCATCCCCATATTTCCTCCTACTGCATATGTTTATTCGTTGAATTATTAACACTACTTTTTGCTCTGCTAGTTCATTTAAATGTAATTTTGTATTTGTACTATTATTAGTGCTTCGCAGTTATTTAACTGATTTTTAACTGATTTTTTTCCTGAAGAAAGACGTAATTATTATTGAAAATAACATGAAAATGGTTTTATCAAATTGCGGGTTTTCTTTTTATATCAGACAACAATTAGGAAATAATAAATGGCAGCCGAATAAGATCGATTTACCGAAATTACACTTTTAAAACTAATTACATCAACATTGTCTATACAGTTAGCCGAATCAACCTTCTGCAACGAAACAGCCTTCTGCAGATTGTTTTTCAAAAATAACCATAAATAATAACAATTAAAACCATTTTTAATAGTATTTTTTCAACTTCAAATAAATATATTT